AGGGTGGTGAACGTATGGAACTCACTACCCCAAATGGCTGTTGACGCTCAGTCCTTGAACATATTCAAAACTGAGAGAGATAGATTTTTTATTGCAAAAGGTATTAAGGGATATGGGGATAAGGCAGGATCAGGTTATTAGCTGGAGTTAGATTAGAAGATCAGCCATGATTGAATGGCGGGGCAGGCTCGAAGGGCCGAATGGCCTACTCCTGCTCCTACATGTTATGTTATGACTTATAGTTGATCAGCTTTGGAATGATTTGACTTGTTATCAGAAATAGTGGTGGTAATACACAGATGTTTGTGTTCGATAGGCCCTGATCCCAAACTGCTTATGGTTGGCTGTCAGACCTATTGCATGGTTGTCATTTTAATTAATATCACTGAGAAGCACGCTAACACAGTAAGAGGCTGATGGCAATATTTGCACAGATTTACAAACATAAAACTTAGGAAAGCTGGAACAGCAGGAAGCCATTCAGTCCATTGAGCCAGATCTACCAGTTTATGTTGAGCTTGGCAGGTCTTTTAATCCCAATTGCTTTACCCTTCGCCATATTCCTTAATACCTCTAACACCTCTTAATCACCCAAGTACTTATTTTTCTTTTATAGGTTTGTGATTCCATTGGTTAACATATTGCCTATTTTTATTACTGTAAACCATTTTGGATTTTGTGTAATTCCATCCAACCAAGGGAGGCGTCATATTAAACAACGTGCAGTGATGACTGTAAAATGTTACGAGTCAGATTCCATCTGTCAAAGTGTAAATGTCTGCTCTCATGCCATGTCTGATTTCATGCCCTTTTCGGGTTATGAAGCTGTGTTTCAATGGAACAACCCAAAGGAACAGCGCAATTTTAGCCTTTGGCTCTTTGTTCTGAGGAAAACATTGCGTAAAAAAATCCATCCTGAATTTACAGGCTGTCTAGACTGGGAAGGCACAAAGTTGGACCAGTTCTTGTTTTTGTTTCCTTTTTGCAAGTTTATGGTCTTAAATCCTGATGTTCTTAGAAGGAGAACAAAACAATGCTTTCATTTTAGCCATAGCTAGATAAAACTTGCTTACTGTATTGTAATTTCTCAAACTTGAGTGCATTAAATAACTAGCACGTGGGCAGAAATTTCATAGAAATATGCTTTATTAATTGTTCTTTTAAGAAGTTCAAAGTCCTAAATTTATACGTGGGTAAAAGGGATTCTGCGCCTGGAAACTAGTGAGTAAATCAAGAGGATTGGACAAATCCCTAACATCTGGCCTTCGGATTATGAACGGATCACAAACACAAGCTAATATTTTCATCTATTTGAAAACAGAAGAGAGTTAAACATAACATCCAGAACTGGTGTTTGTTTAGGCTTGACAAATAATCGACTGCTTACATAAAGGGCTATGAGAGCATAGAATATGTTTGCACAAGTGACTATTCAAGTTGGGTCAATTATGACATTTAAAAGGGCATGAGATAAAATCTTCCTTGTGGAGGGAGCTAACAAGACTCAGGCATGGTGGCCTAAATCTCTTTCATTTATGCTGAATTTCAAGTAAAATTCCTGTTTTGTATCCAACTATTAATTGCAATTGATCATCAACCACTGTTATTAAGTGAAATGTTAGCCTTCTCTTGCAAGATGATATTTGTCTGTTTTATCCATTGCTAGTTCATACCTTCATTTTTTTNCTCCGTAGCTCAGTGCAAAATAGTTGAAATTTTTGCTTCAGATTGAAATTTTTGCTTCATTTTTTTGGCAGTTTTCACATACCAGCTTACCAACAACAGTCTGTGTGAATTCCTCTGAAGTGACTATTTTTAGAGTAACATGACTGTGGTATCTAATAAATATTTGCCCTTTAACAATGTAAAGCTGTTTCAGTAAATTGTTTCAGATTTGTCATAATCTGTCCATCAGTTACAAGATGTACAATGTGACCTCTTTCTGAATATCAGAAATTATTGGATTGAGCCATATTAATCTTTAATAGCCTGGGAAAATGTATAGAAGAAATAGGAAGGGTGCCAGTACAGATCTCTGAGAGATATAACTCAATATATTATTCTCCCCACCCCCCCCCCCCCCATTTCAACCTAGTTACCCTAATGACTGCTCTCTCCATTATTCCCCTTGCTATGTTATTAATCCATATTCACTTCTTACCCTTAATAAAACAGCAACAACAACTTCTTTTATAGCGCTTTCCAGGATAACATCTCAGAGCACTTTACGGACCCCGAACAAAGAAGAAGGGAGAACAGGACCATAGATACAGTCAAAGAGGTAGGCTTTAAGGGGAATTTAGAGATGGACAAAGAGGGAACAAGATGTAGGGTTTTAGGGAAGGACTTCCAGAGGTTAGGGCATAATAATTGAAGGCTTAGCTACCAATGATGGCAAGGAGGGGGTCAGGGGTGGAGCACAGCGAGCCTGTGACAAGAGGAGGGACGATGCGAGGAGAAGGCAAATAGACCTGGGAAGTGCTAGGGCTTGAAGGGATTTATGGGTGATGTTAGTCTATAACATCAGTTTGTAAGAGAATCTCACCTGTGATCCCTTTGTCAAAAGCTACTGTCAAGTTGAAATAGTACCTCTTCAAAAAGGTCCATGAGGTTGGTAAGGCAAGATTGGAGGTTGTGATCTAGTAAGTTATTTTTACACAGGTAATTTCCTTCCTACTGGGTGTTTTCAATTATTGAGCCAGGCAAGTAGGTCTGTATTTGCTCTTTCACCTTTTTCGAATATAGGAACCACTTTTGATTATTTCTAGTCTGTCAGAACCTTCCCAATGTTGACATGGAACTTTATCAATGACTTTCTTAAATTCTGAGGAATATCTCAGGTGAGTAATCCTCAATCACCAGTTCAGTTATCTAAATTCCAGTAGAATTGGAAGGCATGATTTGTTACTTCTAAATCCACGCAGACTCTTTTTATTTGGCGGAAGCTTAAACATTGTAGGCTTTCATCCCATTTGTCACAGAGACTTCAAACCGAACCTTGACAAAAGAATCCTGCTGTAACTGATTGCAATACCCAATACAAAGATTCGCAAAATATTAATGGACTTATAAATTGATGCTTAGATCACACCATTTTTCACTCATACTGAACCTGTAAATGTTAAGGAGTAAAGTAATAGCTTTTGTTTTCCAGTTTATTGTGACCTCACCCTATTCCATGACTTCTTCATAATTTGCCCCACCCGTAGAATCGAACTTGGTAACTTTGGAGCAAAGATTAAGCACCCTCTGAAATTTTAATCCTCCTGTAATTTTCTGTGCTTTCCAGAACAACCATAAAATAGATTTAATATATTTTATAATGAATTCAAGAACTGGGAGTCGACTGGAATACCTAAACCACAACTTGAGGAAGCATTTAAAAGCCGCCATGTTTCGCCCACAAACTATACAGTCAATTCACTTTGCAATATATTCTTTGAGACTTCTGTAGACATGATAAGGCGCTATATCAATGCAAGGATTATTATTATAAGGATTATTATTACTCCACTTCTGAAAGGCACTCTACCTAGTGACCTAGATGAGAACTGACAGCATTTATTAAAAGCAATGGAGGAGGAGACTTGGAAATCAGTACCCAGCACCATGTGATTGTGCATCCAGTGATGTGAACACCAGTTGTTGTCTTATTCTGAAGAGTTTTGTTGCAAAATCAACATCGTTGGCCAAAACGTTGGCTCGCACTTATATTGTGCCTTTATACGAGGTGGCGTTTCGGAGCACTTAAAATGTGATAAAATAGAAGAGTGATTGATTGTGATAATGGAGACTTCTGACTATATTGGCATGTATTTGTAAGGCAGGCTGGCGGATAGGCTGGCAGGATGGCAAGCAGGAAGTTGCCACACATAATTCTGAGGTAGTTAATGAGCCATTTGCACTGTATCAACAATAGTAATTCAGGAAATGTTTGGTTGAAAAAAGGAAAACAGATGAACATAAGAAGAGTATATATTTTAATGGCTAAGAGTGGCCATTATTACTTTGCTTCATTTACTTATATATTTTAATGGCTAATATTAGTGAACAGAATCAAGCTGATATAGGAAGTTAACAATAAAAGTATAAGACAATTTGTTATGGATGTATTTACAGAATAAAAGTTTGCAAAAGTTAAAATCTTTCCCCTCGTCCATACCCAGTTTCAGGAAGATTTTGTTCAAGTCTCCTTTCCTTCCCCAAACCAGAGCCTTTTGTTTCCATGCAGTCATCTTCAGCAGGTAAGAATGAAGCAGAGGTTTCTCTGTCTCAGTGCACTCATGACTGTAATTGTGTGACCAGCTAACACTGTCCACTGCGACAGTGAGAGGTGTGCAATGCCAGTTAACTCTTCAACTTCCTCAAAAGGTAGAATACTCTACCTGTAGAACCCTGTAGCTCAGTGGTTAGATCACTTGCCTCGCAATTCCCAGGCAGGGCAAAATGTTACGCAAGTTTCCTTACTCCACATGCCTCTGTTTATCTAGCGGTATGTAGGAACCCGTTTTTTAGTCGATCAGCGGATTCCTTTTCCAGGGGTAATAATTCCTTCAAAAAATAAAAATATAAGAAATAAAATAATAATAAATTTCCTCACTTAAGTCCATGATTGTTTGTGGGACACTGCTGTGCGCAATTGGCTGCCGTGGTTTGCCCCCAAAAATATACAGTCAATTCACTTTGCAGTATATTCTGTGAAACGTTTTGAGACATCTCGTAGACATGTTAAGGCGCTATACCAAATGCAAAGATTATTATTATAAGGATCATTATTACTCCACTTCTGAAAGGTAGTTTGCCTAGTGACCTAGATGAGAACTGACAGCATTTATTACAAGCAATGGCATTTGAATTTGAGTGACGAGGAGACTTTGAAATCAATTCCCAGCACTATGTGGTTGTGTACACCAATTGTTGTCTTATTCTGAAGAGTTTTGTTGTAAAATGAACATCGATGGATGTTGGCCAAAATACAAATGCAATAGATGAACCACCACTTAATTTCTTATGCTTTATTTCCTATGTGATAAATCATAAAAAGTATACAGGTTACCAAAGAATGATGTATATAAAGTCATGCATGATTTATAGCATACAATCCTGGTTTCAGATAAAATGCAATATTTAAATACATCCAGAATAGATTTTCCTAGCAATTTCAAAATTGCTGTCTTTTTAAGTTGAAGAAACATACAAAATTACTGATAGATAGATTTAAAACAATTTCTTCTGTTTATTTTTATTTCATAGTACTTCTGTACATGAATTAATGTGTAAACCCCATTACAGTCATTTCATCCCATATTGGTTATGTGAACTTTTTTTCCAACCATGGACATCATACAAACTATGTGATCTAGTAAACCATAAAAATCCTATAAGATGTTTTGGTGAGAGTTTATAGAAAATGGACTCAAACGATTAGTTCATTTGTAGAATTTTAAAGAAAGGATTGCACAGTACATGAATTGCTATAAAAAATATTAAATCTTTAAAATCATTCAGGGATCTTTCCAATTGGTCTGGCCTCTTTATAGGATACAAATAATAAGTATACTAATACCAGAAACGGAACCGAAATGGTTTGACAGGGAGAGAAATAATAGCGACTACACATTATACAATTTAATGTCATTTAGCATTTCTTGCATTTGTGAGCATTTCGTGAATTTTCCCTTTTTCAAAAGTTATAACTATAAACATGAATAGGCTATCAATTATGCGCAGCATGTATATAGCCAATTATAGATTTAAATGCATTATTCAAGAAAATTATAAATTGCAGATAAATGCTTTCAATTTGGAATTAAGGTCAATAACACCTCTTTGCTATTGTACAAAATACTTAGCTATGCTTATTCTATAAAATGTATAGAAAACTTTACAAAGTAAATAACATTACTTTGCTTTTAGTTATTCTGTCAGTATTGTTTAACTAACTGAGAATCTAGTAGAAAACTTGGTTTCATGAATATGTGTAGTTATAAAATTTAAGGTGTTAGGTTGCACTATATGATGAGTTAATAAGTGTGAAATCTTGGTAGGCAAATTAATCCAGCATTATTTCGTAAGCCTGGCGAAGACATTGTGCTGAGTTAAATGGCATATCTGCTTGAGTGATTTTATTGCCATCCAAACGCAGATGTTTGACCTTGGAAAATTCTTCAGGGCCAGTAACACGACAGAAGCTGCTCAAGCTGAACTCTGTAAAATGAAATGACAAACAATTAGTGACGCAGCTCATATCCATGCCCATGAGAAATGCACCACATGCATGGCCTGAAATTCAACCTAGTCGTAGCCTGTAAGAACATTTTGTCTTGAAACTTAATATTGCATTGAATTGTGGCAAATTCTTCGTGGCTTTTAATTTGGAAGCTTTTTCTTTTTAAGAACTTCAGAAAAACAACTTGCAAATTAAGACTTGAATTTAAGAATTTTCCACAATTCTCAGTAGCTTAGTTTTTAAAGACAAAATCGTCTTTGCCGAATACGATTAGGTGGAATTTCAGGCCTGTAGACTATTCTGCTAACTGAGGATATGCCAGATACAATATTCTAAAATTGCATAAGACAATTTAGACTTACAATTTTTTTTGTCAATCATGGAAATAATACACTGATAGAATGGAAATTGGGGAAGCCAATACAGAAAAATAGATATTATTTTAAAATCAGAAGTAAGATGAAAAATCAACCAAGTTGAACATTTAATAATATTGCAAGATGGCAGAATCATAGAAAGAAGGATTTGCAGAGGCACCAATATTTATATTATTGTTTTAAATTGTGGTATTTCTCGACAGGATTCCTTAATAACTGGCAGAAACTCTGCTCCAGAATAGATGGCGATAGATTCCATGGGTTCAATGGGTCAGTGTGTTATACATGAAGGATGCATTTTCCTGTTAAGAAATACCAGAAGTTAGACCTCATGTATTCTAGCTGGAGATGGTCATAAATGTCCTCCCAAGATACCACCTGACAATTCCTAATAGGTACCCTTCGAGTAAGTGTACTAATTGGAGGAAACAGACTATTTTCCCATTCACTATGTTAGAATTTACACTTTTTGTATTATGTTAGAATCACAATAGATGTTGCGAACGGGTTAACTTTTAAGTTAAGTGTGGGGGACAACTGGACTGACAGTCATGGGATAGGACACATCTGGTTTTCTCTGTTTTTGAAAGAATAACAGACAGGGGCAGGGGTTCAACTCTTATCAGTAAATGACAACAAGCCACAGAGGTAACGGTCCAAGCTACCAGTCGACACGGGATCTCGACTGAGCAATAAGTCGCTAGATTCTGACAGGGCCTGCCAAGCGACAGAAGGCAACCCTCAAGAATAGCAATTAATGAGCAAGTTGCTTAAACTAGAGGACCTTGGTACCATCCCGGGATACTGATAAGGAATAACCAGTCACTTAAAAGGAATGTACTAATGATCCCACACCACAAAATAATGAGCACCAGATACAGTCCTAAACTGATCAATCCTCTATCTTAGACAATTAGATCAGATAACGGGGGTCTTAAAGACAATGTGTATGTGTGCTGAGGCACGTAGACCCCATGAAGTGTTCACGTGAACCCAGCATGATTTTGGCCAGGTGACCTAATGTCCGCACCATGATTGGATGGACACAAGCTTAAGACACTGTGCCAGACCAAGATCGACTCGCGCCCAGGACAGTACCTACCGTGGATGGAAGACTGAGATCTAGAAGACAGAAGTAGACGACCACGAGGAGGAATTACGCGGTAGTATTGTTCTGTTAGTAAATTAATTGATTGTGCTTATTTGCCCACACCCATCGGGAACTTGGACGGATCCTGGAGTTTAATAAACACTACTCTGGTTGCAAACAGTGGTTGTGTTTGATTGCAACTCGAAAAGAAGATTTTATTTTCTAACAACTATCCATTAAAAGGCTACAAGTAGCCACAATCCATTAGCTACAAGAAGCCACTTCAACTAACAATTGTAGCAAAATCTTTACGTTCACAATTTTTGAGTGTTTCTGGATGTAGCTCGAATGTGATGCTGTCTGCTGCCAATAGGCCAACAGAAGAAGAATTCTTTGGAGGTAATATTTACAACAGTAAGCGGCTACAATTAAAAACTATAAATCTGATGCTCTGCAATTCATCAAAATGAGAGCTTCAGACAGTGAAAGAGGCTTTAAAAGGAACAACAATTCAATGAGAAACAAATGTTGGGATAATAGTGCAATTCCCCATTTTTATTTAGGATGTTTGGTTGAGTGAAAAAAATATAAGCAAACTTACTTTCAATTTCATTGGCTTGAAGGTAGAGATTTTCTAGATTTTCATTAACAACAGGGATAGCTTTCAATTTATTGAATGACAGGTCCAGCTCAAGGAGGGTGGTGATGTTGAAGATCCTTTCAGGAATGTCTTCATCCTTTAATTGATTGTGTGAAATGCGCAAGTACTGCAGTTTGCTATTTTTATCGAAGTAACCCTTAGGAATGCTGTTGAGATTATTGTGATCAATGTAGAACATCTCCAAAGAAGATGGAAGTCCCGCAGGAAGTTTAGTTAGTTTATTGATGCTCAAGTCAAGATACATCAAGGATTTCAAACCACTGAAAGCCTCACCAACGTCACTCAGCTGGTTGTCATTAAGTTGAATTGTGGTCAGGTTGTCATGGTCAGCGAGGACCTTTCCAATCTTTGAGATCTGGTTCGAATAGACTTTTAGATCTTCCAATGACTTTGGAATGCTGACAAGCTCTGTCAGATTGTTAAAGTTTATATACAACTTCTGTAGGCGTTTTAGCTTTGAGAATGCCTTCTTACCAATATTTGAAGAAGCAATTTGATTGTTATCAAGAATTAGCCAAAGCAGTTCAGTTGCATTATCAAATGCACCGTTTGGAATGCCAGTCAGCAGGTTGTTTTGGAGGTAAAGATACTTTATCGGTGATGGGATGATAGGGATGGTTTTAAGTTTGCGGTTGTCACAGTACATGGCAGTGGGGAAATTCATGGGACAGTCACATTCAACTGAACAAATTGGAGATGAAGGGGCCATTTGACTTGCTGGATCATAATTATAGTATGAATCATAGTCATACTGACAGAATATGCCACTGACCAGGAGGGCAAATATAGGCAGTTGAATGAGCTTCATCTTGGGAATTTAATGCAACCCTGTGAATAGAAAAAAAAGGACAAAAACATATGGAATTATAACTGATCTCAACCTGGTCGCAATATACTCTGAACTCAAATTATCAGTACTTTTGAAATTCAATTAGGCTCCCCGCATGATGTTACATTTGGAATGTGATATCACAACTAGGATGAGGCTAAAAATGCATATTGTTTTGTTGAACTGACACAAGATCAAATGTTATGGCTGGATACCCAACTCTTGAAAGTGTTAATTAATGGAAATAATGCTAATAATACTGACTAGCAGATGTGGAGAATACATGATAATATCTGGTTGTCTGCTAAGGAATAACCTTTTGCAGATGGTGAATCATATGGCTAAGCAGAAGGAAATGGGTTGGTGTACATTTAGCAAGTGCTGGGAAACCTGGCTCAATTTGTAGCACACTTGCCTCCACATCAGAAGGATGTGGGTTCAAGCCCCATTTTGGGACTTTGAGCTCCTAGTCTAGGCTGATATACCATAATGGGGGAGCACTGCCATAGTCTCACATCACTATTCAAAAAGGGAAGGGAGTTTCTCCCACTGTCTTGGCCAACATTTCCCCAGAATATAAACTTGGTGATTCACTTCATCATTGTTTGTGGGACATTGCAGTGTGCAAAAACTCACCTCTAAAATACACAATTGCTAAACTTTCCAGGAAGTCCTGTGAACTGCTTTGAGACACTGTCTTGATGTGAAAGGTGCTTTATCAAATGCATGGATTCTTATTATAAATCAACCATACTTGAATCCATAAAATGAAAAGTAAGAAGAAAAACAGAATTGGATGAAAATAAGAAGAACTTGGATTTGGAAGGCACCTATTATATCAAAGAAATGCTTTACGTGAAAGGAACTATACAAATGTAACTTTTGTTGTTATTTACAAAATTAGATTAATTAGTAAATCAATGTTATGTAGGCAAACCCAACAGCTACTATGTGACAGCAGGGACCTATACACAACAATGAGATGAGTGGTCAACTCATTTTAATTTGGAGATGAATTTGGATGGATAGGGAATATAAAACAGAATAACTGGGACAAACCATTTAAAAATATATTAGAAGTCTTAGCATTTGTCTGAATCACAAGGAACCTAAATTAATGGCATGATTAAAACAAGGAATAAAATTGTCTATCATATATAATGTTGATAAGCAGGTATCTGCACCAGCAATGTGGCTGCCGCGTTTCACCCACAAATATACAGTCAATTCACTTTACAGTATATTCTGTGAAGCGCTTTGAGATGTCTAGAAGAGATGAAAAGCGCTACATCAAAAGCAAGGATTATTATTATTATTAGATATGTTCCACAAGCAAGATGAAGGGTAATTTATTTGAAGTTTTTGCGGTGAATTTGAATTAGGGAAGAGCAGTGTCCATGAAATGAATGGATAGATCCAGAAAAAGATCTTTTTGTAGGTTAGAATGAGATGTAATTCAACGAGGGAAACATATTGAGAACGATTGATATGATAAGCTTCCAGGAGATCTTTAGTTTTAAGTATGAGATGTACATGCGTTTTTGCAATTCCAAGTATTGGAATCAGAGAATACAATAACAGGAACATAAAAACCCACAGTGCAGAAAGAGGCCAATCAGCCCATCGAGTCTGCACTGACCCCCTGAAAGCTGTCTTATGCAGGTGTACAGTTCCGTTAGATGATACAAGCTCAATGGACGATTCCTTGATGGTGTGAGCCTGGACAATGAGTAATAAGAGTCTGTAGGACTAGAGACCAATGTTTTATCATAACAAACATGTATTTTCCAACAAGGGGTCACTAGATACTATCGAATAACTGTTAGATTCCAATCCCCCACCTCCCCGCCCCCATCCCAAGAATGCTGAAAGCAAATGTACCAAGGCTCAGGTAAAATAACCTGCCATTGACTAAGGATTGGAAATTATATGGTGGTCAATAAAATACCACAATTCATTATAGTGAAATTGTAACTTTGATGCTAAATAGGTGTTCTTGTTGGGCTTCTCAAAGAGTAGGCAAAACTCACTTAACACATGATTATATGATTATACTGGTTGTACTTTTATGCAACATGTGCCTTTTTTGTTGCAGTTATTTTGATTTTTGCTGCAAATTAGATCCAGGGATTTGGACACTTACCAATTCTAGAGTTGGGAATTTATTGGTTTCATATGACCAAACTATTCTTGTTTGTATCTAATTTATTACCTCCCTCCTGGAAGCTCTGGCTCTTCATAGGGTAGTGTTCCACAGGTGCTGGAAGTACATTGCTGCCTTGAGGCCATTAGGATACCATTCTTCAAGTGTTATTTGACAGTAATAATAATAATAATAATCCTTGCATTTGATATAGCGCTTTTCACGTCGTTTGACTTTTCACTCGTTTCACTCTCAGTAGAGTCAAACATGACACTAATTCTCACCCAGTATCCACAAATATGTACTTTCAAGCAGGGTGTCACTGGGTAAGAATTAGGAATTCTTACTAATTCTTTCCCCCCCTTCCATAATCAAGGGACGCAGGACAATTGCAATACCCCAAATATCACCCTGGCTAAAATGAGCTAACTCAGCACAGATTAATAATCGAACTGAGGGCATAGATTGAGAATCAAACCATCATGTGTATGGCGTATTTGATACCAGATAGTGGCTTTACCAAGTAAGCCATTAAAAAAAATGACTAATTACCTAATATGAATAGACATTATGTAAACAGGACAGGGCTCCATATTCAACAAATGCATTGTGTTGAGGTTCTGGGGACTTTTCTATATGATTTCTGAACCATGGATAAGTCACAAATAATTAACTTCCACAATTTGACAGATTGTGGGAAATGTACCACTTTCTTTTTTAAAAAAACTTCACCGGAAAAAAATCTTTAAACTTTTGCCTTTACAAATGGCAATGACTGTTATCAAAAGTTTTGGGTGTTTGGTATTAACGTTTATTTTAGTTTATTATTCTGCAAAATTACTTGAACAGTCAGAGTAAAGTATTTCCATTTCCCCAGCGAGCACACTTGTGTATCAAAGTGATACCTTTGGCCTGTAGTTGTGTAAATAAATAAGCAGGAAGGTTATTTACAATGTCCACGCGATTTGTCCAGTTGCACTGCTCCTCAAATCTAAATACTACGGAAACAGCCTGAAAGTCAGAAGTTTTAATCTAAGCCATAATCTGTTTTAAAATGGGTCTGAAATAGCATTCTCACCATGTTATTGCCTTATATTGTGTCTATAAATTTGTAATTGATAATTCTAAATTTGCATAGATGCCAATTGATGGTACTAATATACAGTACATTGATTAACAATTTAGTTTGCATTGTTGTGGAACTTTCAATTATACTGTGTGGGTGGTTGAATTTAGCCAAAGAAAAACGTAATTAACTAGGCATTTTGTATGATATACTGATCTGGTACAAGAGAACCCCATCACAACAGAATACCAATAAATGTTGAATAAGGTTTCAGAGTAAAGGTTAATTGACATTTGTCATATGTTATATTCATATATATATTATATTGTGTTCAAAAGTGGCATCAGGAATGTGAAAGTAGTTAACCTGAATTCAATCTCTTTCATAGACCACGCACGGAATAAAAAATCAAGTTATAAAATTGGTGCTTTCCCTTCAGAACAGATTTCTTATGTTTTTTTTAGAACAATAACACTGATTTTATCAAATGCCAGTGCTCAGAGAATGAAAACATTAATCCCAGTTGTGGTGACAACTTTCATGCATTATGTTTTATTAAGTTCAACTGCGTGGTTCAATGTTCAGCTTTGGAGCAGCAAACAGATTCCACATAAGGTAGCTTCTATCAATGAGTCGGAAAAAATAAATGCTACCACAGCAATAGCAAACTGTGAAACATCAGAAATATTAATTATTTGAACTGGAGATTAATACAATGAAAAGTCCATATTTTGGCCAGTGAACATACCAAATAAGATAAACTCCATCATTATCTGCTCCTTTCAGTCATAGAACAATGAACAGAATCTTTGTTTCTTTATTATCAGAATGCAATGAATCTGACAAAGTCTTGTTGAACTAGTTACCTTATGCAGACCCAGTCCTTTAAAATATAGTGTCAATATCCTTAATTTGGTCATTGAAAACTGGGATTTAATTCCACATAACCTTAGTCTGATTTAAAATTCAATACATCCACAGGCAATAATAGCAAGATGTGTTCCCCAGAATGTTCGAACCTAGGTTAATAAAGTGAAGAACAGCAAGTTTAAAATCAGTTAGTTAAGGAGTATTGTGCTTTGTAAATCAAGTTGATTTTGATCTGGTCTTCTTTCAGTGATATCTATGTGAGTCTCTATGTATGTTGCACATACGAGCACAATAAATTCCTTTTTGCACACTTGGTTAAATGTGTTTTCCATTTTATAACATCTTGTAACAGTTACCTCCTGTGGATTTCTCAGGTTGAATATACAGTGGATTTTGAGAATGTATAGAACCAATAAACATTTCTGCATTAACAGTTGTTAATTGTTATCATATTTAATAATAACTTGTGCTGAAACACTCAGTTATCCTTCAAGGGTTAACAGCAAAGGATTCAGCCTATTATAAGCAAAAAGATTCCCTGAATGTAACTTTGTAAAGTAAGGCAAATTACGTTTAAAAGCCACTGGTTGAAGTGAATTACTTACCTTTTCTTGAAGCTTTTGGTTTCTTAATTCCAAAGACTGAGTACCAGCGTCAAAAGGAAAGAAACAGATATTAAGTGCTGAAACTGGTCTCTGGAGAAAGAGGAGGCTGCCAGACCTCTGTGGCACAGCGCTGACAACAACAGCAGAGAAACGTAGACAAACTCAACTGTAAAGCTACTATGTCATCACTCCAAGATTGTGGTGTGCTGAATAACACAGAAAATACAGCTCACTAACTAAACGCAGGTGGATGCTCAAGCTGCAGCTGTGATATAGATAAGAGACTGGGATGAATCCACGTTTTCAGACACCCCTTTAATTTTACATATTCACAATTGCTCACCACACTCCTCCCCCTCCAATGTGATTAAATTATGTTTTGCTATTCTACAAAAATAAATTCTTACTTTCCTGCAAAGGCAAGTTTGCAAGGGATTGTTCAACGCTTTGGTGGGAAAACAATATTTTCCAAGTGTTGTCATTCCCAGGAGAAACAATCCAGAAGGAATAATATTGGAATTAACTCTAAATGTAGCCTGGGTCAGAGCAAAATGTTGTACAGTACAATGGTTTGTGTTAAACTATCCACGTCTTTGAACCCATTATAAAAAGTGGCTAACGGCCAAAGCTTCAAAACTGCCAAGAAAATAATTGAAGAATTATGTTTGAAGCTCAGACCTTGAAGAGAACGTCAACAGACACAAGGACTACAAGCATTTGCCCCAGACATTTATATTAATTAATAATGGTTTATTATAATTGAATTGCTTTTTAATCTTTGGAGTCAGGTAACTTAGTAAAAGAACAGATTGAAGCTAGCCAAATCCTTAGACCTCTGGGTGAGGTTTTCCGTTTGATCATACACGAACTGTCAAATAGTCTGAAGTAAATCAGGCACTCAAATGAGGTCTGTTTCTTATTTCATGGCTCCCACTGAAGAATGCAGACTCATCCTGAAGTGATAGACCTTGTAAACTCTGAAATGAAATGGCAGACCATAGTTGTAATGACACAAAAATATTTTGGGATAAACTAACTATTGGGCAACATGATCTTAAAGGAAACAAAAGTGATTTATCAAACAAACAAATGCAAAACAGACAATCCCAGACTTGAATCTTAAATGCGTGCGCAACAGTAATGATTAAATTAGTGATGTAAACATTTACAATCTGTGAAACGTAGCGGTTTAACTTTTGAGGGAATATGCTTCATCTTCAAAAAGTACTGGGGAATGTTTTGGACATACACTGGATTAACGAAAAAATGTTTTTTTTTGCAGAAATAGGTTTGAGAGTCAGTAAATTACTGAAGAGAATCCCCTATGAGCCAAACATCAGTTCTGTCTGATGGGATGCAATGGCAAGTCTGCAGAAATAAAGTCTTATTGATTCTTCATATGACTGCCAAGTGTGAAGAACATCACCTGCTGCCTCGACCTCCTCCCCATCCAACTGCTGGTCACCCATCACCCCCGTCTCTGCTCCATCCTGACAGACACAGTCAACCAAAATCCCTCTCCTCAATCTCTGTCCCACTCCCTCCTAATCGACTTACTTACAGCTAGGTAAACAGAAGTGCGTGGAGCAAGGAAACTTGCCCAATGTTTCGCTCTGCCCTGAAATCGAATCCAGTTCCTCTCGCTTGCGAGGCGAGTGCTCTAACCACTAAACTACAGGACAAAGCTACAGACGTAATAACTGATGATGCTTCGTTCATTGTGCAGCTTGAAAGAGTATTTATAAAAGTTAAGAATTGTGAGCAGTTGGCATCATTTACCATCTACATCACTTTAAGAGTGATGAATAAATAAGACACTGTCTTTAAATAAGAAAAAAAGATAATGTCATGGAAAACTAATTATTTACATTCAGTGGTTAGGTTGTATCAAATGACAGAGCGTATGCTGAGATTAACTGCAACCCTCCCATTATTGTGAAAGCAACATTTAAGTCTAGAAAACTGGTAGCTGACAAGAGGGTATGAGAGAAAAGCACAAACCCAGCATATCATTTTGCCCTATATTTTGAAAACTGTGGGGAACAAGAAGGTCTAATTACTAAGCTATGGGTTTTGGCTGTGGAGCAAATGAAAGAGCATCAATTAGATTACATCTTGTCAGAACTATGGCCCCGACACAAGAACCCCAATTTTTTTTAGTCAACTGAATGCTCCTGAGATGCTGACCGTGTGCGGAGGGAGCTATATAAGTGCAAGTTGTTGTTGTTATCATAGAATCATAGAATTATACAGCATAGATGGAGGCCGTTCGACCCATCATGTCTGTGCCGGTTTTTTGAAAAGAGCTATCCAAATCAATCCCACTCTCCCGCGCTCTCCCAATAGCCCTGCAAACTTGTACTCCCAAAATAATTGTCGACTTCTCTCTTAAAAGTTGTTACCGAATCAGTTCCACCATTCTTTCAGGCCATGCATTCCAGATCTGAACAACTCGCTGTGTGAAAACATTTTTCCTCACCTCCTCTCTGTTTCTTTTAACAACTATTTTAAATCAATGCCCTCAGGTTACCGACCCACCCGCCAGTGGAAATAGTTTCTCCCTGTTCACCCTATCGAATCCCCTCATAATTTTGAAAACTTCTATTGTCTCCTCTTAACCTTCTCTGCTCCAAGGAGAATAATCCTCGCTTCTCTAGCCTCTCCTGATAACTGAAGTCCCTCATTCCCGGTACTATCCTGTTAAATCCCCTTTGCACCCTCTCCAATGCTTTGACATCCTTCCTAAGGTGTGGTGCCCAGAACTGAACTCTAGCTGAGGCTAGTACTCCAGCTCTGTTGTAAATAATTTTATGTTTTATTATAATTTTCTCATTCCTACCTCCAAGTAGCTTTAAATCCAGCTAATTTGCCACTTATTCCATTGTCCCCTGTTTTCTTTAAACCCACACCTTGTAGAATTCTATTGAGTACTGACCCCCATTGCCATTCATCAGCACCGCACATAGGTTAGAAGGTCTAAATCCATAACTTGATTTGCGTACATTACCAAAGAAAACCCCTATATCTCAATTATGTGTATTGCAGAAAAAAACCTGTGAAAGAAAATTCTGACACTATGCAGGAGCATGTTTTCCTAGTTTTATTGCACGCTTCACAGCCCCTCGAGTGGATTCTTTCCTCCATGGCTGCAGAGCCAATTATCTCATCTCCACTTTGTGCTTCCCGCAGATGGCTTGCCTGAGATCAGGAATTCATCATGTGGGTACTCGTTTGTTATTCTTCCGTATAGTTGCTAACAATTTTTCAAAAAGTATATTGAACGCAAATCCAACAATGATTTCATAAAACGTCTTGACTGGCTAGCAAAAGATAAGTATTAAAGACCAAAGAATTGGCCAATAAGCACATATTTCTTTCCAGATGAAGCATGTTGGACCCAACACGTCTCTGTATTTTGGTTCCTAAAGTTCATATAGTTTACTCTGGTGGTTACTCAGATCAATAAAACACCAGAAGACTTCATATATACATGGAAAGAGCCACTGGAGCTATCCCATGATTTGAAGTCCTTTCTTTGTTCATGATCCAGCAGTACAAAGTGATGGTTAAAGTGCGCATTTGAGATGTTGTGCAGCAGGAATAAAGCTCCAGGAAATGGTTGTGAGCACGGCACAGAATTCCACAGACAGGAGAAATGATGGAGTGAAAAATGTCACATTTAATGTGATAACTATGACATCACTTTATTATCCTTACATGTAAAACTTTGCCGTTAGAGTTTCAGGTGGATTTTTGAGTGCGGCTGGAAAAATGCTTATGTTTCTGACCTAAACATGGAGATCTATCTTTGCCCAGTCACTCTACTTAAAGTATATCCTGTGAAGCGCTTTGAGATGTTCTCCCGACGTGAAAGGCACTATATCAAATACTAGCTCTGCCCGTTGCAGCTTCGCTTGCAACCAAAGGATGCAATATGGAATGTAGATTGACACACAAACACACAGACATTTTGTTTTTATCTATTCTCAGCTGGGAGGACTCCTGTGGGAGGACTCCTTTTGGGAGGACTCAGTAGGAGGACTCTTAATATATTTTCTCTCACAGTCTCTTTCAATCTATCTGTCTCTCTTTCAGACTCTCTCTCTCTCTTAGTCTCCCTCTCTCTCCCTGTCTCTCTTCCAGTCTCTCTCTCTTTGTCTCTCTCTCTGTCTGTCTCTCTCTCTCTCTCACTATCTCAGTCTCTTTCTCTCTGTCAGTCACTCTCTGTAAGTCTCTTTCTCTCTCTGTCAGTCTCTCTCTGTCAGTCTCTCTCTCTCCCACAAAACACACAGTCACTACACTTTATAATAATAATAATAATAATAATCTCTCAGTCACTTTCTCTGTCTCTCCCAGTCTCTGTTTGTCCAACATGGGAGGATTCTAGCTCCCTTGACAACCAGAAAAAAGTGCCATACATTTGTTGCAGAATATAGATGCATCACTCTGAACAGTGTATGCTTTCCTCTGTCACTGTGTAGTTATTTTGGGGCTTAATTAAAGCATTTTTTAATATAGCTTATCAACAATAGGAGATTCCCCCCCACCAAAATATGCCAATGCCACTGCCAGTTTGCAAAACCTTTCCGATGAGGTATAATTCACGTCGCTATGTCAATCGGTCATTGCGTGATTGTCAGATATACTGACAGACAGAAACTGTCATTTTATTAGTGTAGATAAACATTATTATTGTTATTTGGTATTATCTTTCAGGTACATGGGTCAGGAGATGCTAGATGGAGTTCAATGTGGATGTTAAAATAATTGGTATTGAAGCATAGTTATAATATAACACACGACATTTAGGAACAAATTCCTCAGTTTATTTTAGATACATATATGAAATTGACAAGAAGTGTGCCTGAGGTATTAAAAGGGCAATAATCGTGATTGTGTTCCACGTCCTCCTGACGTGAAAGGCACCATACCAAAATGTAAGGATTATTAATTTCATGGGCTTTTCCTTTTCTGACTCACTGGATTCTGCTCCAGAAGAAGATCCTGCCAGAGTGGAGTTCTCATTGTTTGGGTTAACACTTCTGGTTCGAGCAGGAGTATCTATTTGTGACTTCTTCAGATTGCGTACAAAGAAAGCGGTGGTCAAGAGTACATTTACACTTGATTTGTTAAAGCTGGCTTTTCCCGTGAATCGAACCTCAAAGATATTACTCAGCTTAGTACGACTCAGAATGCTGATTCAAAAAAAAATTGTGATTTATTAAGTTTCGTTGCAAATATTAGAAATATCGATTTGGCATTGTTAATGCTATTTCTATTTATATCACAACATAAAAAGCTGCACTGGCATTCACAGAAATGCTCCTTTAGATTTTTTTTACTTCCTATAGAGTATCCAGCTATT